TATCGTAGGTGTTCAGAGACCATGTATACATGTAAATATTATATCAGAGAAAAGCCGCTCGATTGCGGTCAAAGTCTCTAGCAGGTACGAAGTTTTCCTGACGCAAACGCAAACGAAGCTACGGAAACATTATTGCTGTGGTACTAGATAGATGACATACAGACGACAACTTCAAGCCTACAGAGCTTGCGCATGGTCCAGCGTGGCGTTGTTTGTCTTTATACTTTTATTATCGCTGGCATTCTTACCTCCTCCCATTCACCTACTGGGAAAGTGGGAAGAGAACGATCTCAATGTGTCGGTAGGTTGGGAAGAACAACGTAAGTGATATATCAGGTTGAAAGCTCAGTGACGTTGGCGTTCATTATCAATTATGTATGATCAATTGAGGTCCTGGTCCTTGCTGGTTCTATTGGACTTGGGGTTTGAAGACAGTGTAGTTATAGACATTGAACCACCACTCGGGTGACAAAAGTCAGGGCCAGTTGCTATATCATTACCAAAACACCATGAATGCCATCGACTCGGTAGCCCTACTAGATAGCAAGAATAGAGGGGAAACCCTATTCCTCTCGTATATCGTGCCCTGTCTTTGAGAAAGTCATTAACGACTCGTGTCGTGAAGCTGGAATAGCATCGTGTGGCTGGTACCAGTGATGAGCGCCACATATGCGGCTCACTAAAAGGTTCTAGACAGGACAATGACTTTACATTCTCTCAACAGACGGCTGGGTTCGCTACAACTCGTAAACGGGCCCTTTGGCGTTAACAAATGCTGAGTAGCTGGCTGACACGGCGGTGGTAGCAAGGGAAAATAGCCCTGCTCTCGTCACTCGAGCGGCTATCTAGATCTAAACCAACCTTGTGTCGATCTCGTTCATCTGAACCAACAATCCGTCTTTCCATTTGATATAGATCTCAGAAAATGATTGAAAGTTATTGGTCCCCAGTACAAACCCCGGATCTTCCATTAGCTAGTATTGAAGGAAGGTGTCATATGCGGCTCGTGCCACTCTAGAAGGCGGGTAGGCTTTCAGTCACGGTACATGAAACCAGGTTTGGGGGCTCCAGGTTGATAATAATTCACTTGCGGTTTAGTAGCACCTTATTGGTCTCCGTAATTACAAATCAACATCTAGTTGAGCATAGTAAGGCTTACTTGCGATGTCAAGGAATCACGAGCTCAGGACTGTCCATTGTAAACGATCCTGCGGCTTGCGAAAGCCCTCTGTCAACAACCTTGTATAGTCTTTCTAAAGCTTACCAAACTCTAAAAAATGACTTGTTTGAACCAAAGCTGGTAGTATGGATTTATACGAGACACTCGTAAGTCTTCTGTGGTGAGCACATTGCCAGCAAACCGTCACAGAGTTAAGACGACCAGGTGGCCTGAGATTGGACGTTTAACAAAGTTGCCGGATTTCCGACCCAACGTTTCCCCAGAAAAGATAAATAGTCTGGCAACTTTCTAAGTTTGGTCTGATCCACGGCCAAAACGTCTCATTCTGCTTCTCCTCACAACAAGGGTTTTGCAATAGCTATACTGCCAGACGCGGGCAACGTCAATGCTATGACGAAAATCATTCGTATTGCTATGGCAGGCGGATGAGATAAATGGCCTGAGTGCTTCCCCCCGAAATTGTCGGGTCTAGACAGGTAAAGTGGTGATATCGTACGCTGCTGCTGTTACAGAACGGAAGTCTTGATGAGTGCCGCGTGTACCCTTAAGTTTATTTGCGCAGTCCAGGAAAGTTTTCGGCACCGAGTTTCCTATTTTGGTGTCTACTGGAGGCATGGATAATAATACAATCGGTAAATTCAATCCAGCACCTCAGGACGGAAGAAAGCAGGCGATAGCACGGATTACTTTCGCACTACCATGGGCCGACGAACGGCTGGAGTGCAATGTGGATGATGGCTCGATATCGTACGAGCAAGTACCAGCGGCAATGATGGGACGATGAATCTGCTCATTATGACTGAACTAATAATCGATCTTCAGGCTTCAGTCTGCGAGGTGGTGGTCGTGGGATTACAGTCAGCCAGCCCTTAAGCCCCTTAGGTAGAAAACACTGTGGAATGGATGTCCCAGAGTTTAAGGTCTCAAACGTAGTTCAAACAACAATGACGGAGAAGCTTGGTAGGTTTGTAGGTTTCATACCAATGGCAGTGAATTCCAGGGCTTTCATAAAGACTCTTGCTGGAGGAACGTAGCATTCTAGCCTTTGAGCCCAAAGCCTAAATCCTTTCTCCACTCACAGCGGGGAAACCGCCAAATCCGAGAAAAGATGGAGGCCGGCCAGACCGGTTGACGGGGCGGCGGTAAGCTAGGGCCGCGTCTACTCGTGCTGCGTGTGGCTTGATGTCCTTAATTATAGGGGTTCCCCAGCTGCGCATCATCTTGGCGACGAACCAAAGACTTGGCGAAGCTTGGTGATGTTTTGATAGTGATGTTGAATGGAATCCCAACTTTACTGAGTCCCGCGTGCCATGCACCACACCTGCAGTGTCAGCCTTGACAGTTAAAAGCACTGCGTTTTGTGGATAAATACTAGCTGGCATAAAAAGAGTCATTCCTGTCTTGTCCTCCTACCTACACTATTGTGTGCCTCGGCACCAGACCTTCTTAGATCGAGCAAGTCTTTGCGAAAGATTCCCGAGGTGACGAATCTAACAAAGCTTGGTAGCCTTGAAATAATTTTCAAATCACAAAGCGCAAGGAAGTAATGCCAGTTATAGGTGCACAAGCGATTGGCCGAAGGGTTCCAGGTGCAATTGAAACAGGCTTACGAGGCGGACCAACGACTCTTGAAAGTCGCGCCATCTCAGCGAGTCAGACCCAAGGAACACATGTATTGTTTGTCCAAAATAGGGTCAATCGACTTGCAAAAAATTGTCAAAGACAAGCGAAGAACAGGTAGAATGAAAGGAGGTCTGATACCCGAGTTGAAGGAAGAAGGAAAGTCAGATGAAGAGAGCTGGCTCAGACCACTGGGAACTAGCCTGTATGATTCCTCATGGACAACAGTTCTTGCCAAGGAATTGACTGTTCGACTGAGGAATGAGCGTACGGAATCGACAATCATCTATTCGACTGGACGTGCCACATTCTGTTGCTTGACGGTGTCACTTCAGACTCTCCCGGGCTTGCAGGATGGAGATACCCTTGGATGGCGTATGGTGAGCACATTCCATGGATCCTCGGCCCCCACGGCGGACCATACTAAACACAATGTGCATCGATCCTTACTTAGCCACTGGAACAAGAACATCAGCCCAAAACACAAGCGAGTTAACCTTATTTGCGTCGGCTCCACATGAAAGGTTAATTTGCTCGGGTCCCGACATCAGACGAGGATGTGGTTGCACGCAACTTTACGACCGGCCGTCGTACACAACATGTCTAGAACTTACCTCACCATACAGGTACGGAGCGACCCCTGACAACATCCCGGCAACGAGTAGTCGGAGTCTCTTTAGCACCATTGGCAAGGTTACTCGGTACGTATTTGTTTTCGGATGAGGCGTATTCGTTGAACCGCGGTCGAGAGGACAGCGCAAGGAACATACCTGAAGACGTTGTCCCAGCAGACTCGCCATGCAAAGAATATTTAATCCAGGCGAAGCCACTCGTCAAGATGCTTTCTTCATCAGCAACACTTCGCTCCAGATCAACAGTTCCATTGCACTCACGGCTCCTTATCACCCTCACTCTGTCTCAAGTCTTTCACCTAACCGCCGAGCACTATTCAAGATGCGTTACACCCAGCTCGTCCTCTCACTCTTCTTCGCGTTTGCCATTGCTCTGCCCGGGCCGGCACAGGTAGACGCCGTGGCCTCAGACCACTTCAGCGGAACTGTGTCTAAGGTGGCAGCTGTTGACTGTACCAATGCCAAGTCGTTGGCTGATGGTATCGATAAGAACATCGCGGCTCAGAAGCAGGAGCAGACTGATGTCGCCGCTGTAAAGGATATTGTCAACAAGGACAACGTCAACACAAACCAGTTCGACCAAGCCAAGAAGAAATTCCTCGCCACCATCCAGAGTGGCATTGATATTCGCAAAAACAATCAGCAAATTGCGGGTGCGAATAATGCCGCCTCTGCAGGCTTGGCCAAGGTATGGACCGTATATGCTATGGAGGCGGAGGCCCCGAAGCTAACTGGATGCGAACCAGGTTGCCGATGCCCAAGCCAAGGAGTTGGCTCTGGCACAGGGCCTCAAAGGAAACAAAGGTGATTTGGACGCCATCAGCCAGCTAGAGACCGACTTCGCCGGAGGGATCAAGCAGAATGAGCAGAACAAGCAGGATGTAGGTGCTCGTAAAACTTCAATTATACGGAGGGGCTGGCTAACAAGAATCATTAGGCTCTGAAGGGCTGCTAAGCTGATGGTGGCTTTTGGGGGACAGGAAGACTGTGCAATATCAAAGTGTCTAGGGACGTACTGGAATCGGTTGCGGAATAAGCCAGTCGTATGTGTGGGTTGTACTCGATAGATACAGCGAATCTAGCGGCTCAGTCCATCAAATAACTTTAGATATTTTAAAGAGCCTTTCTTGTTGGTAAACTCAACTGCGCCGTTACAAATGTAGAAAACGCCTTTGCAGATGGGTACTGATTCCAGTAGAATCTTAGCATCGAATGGGCAAGCAACGATGCAGAGCAGGTTTGCCGACAATCCAAGCGTCTACAGTTGAAAAATGATTCACATCCAAATTCAGAGAAAGGTTGAGGCCAATATACGAGTTAGCGTCTATGGCTAGAATATCACCAGGCGACAGGGTCTCCATAAATAATGTCCAACGCGACTGATACTCTGTCAGGTCGCAAACCGTTGTGTTGTAATTTAGTTACAGTGTAGAAGAAAAGGTATATGCTGGGACTTAGACGACGGACATCATCGTCAACCCTAGGAATTTGATATACACAAGACCCATCACAGATCATAAGCTGCAAAGCTCATGTTGGGGAAGCCTCAATATCTCGCCACAGCACGCCTAAGCGCACTGAGAGTACCACTCGTTGATGACCTTGCAAGAGCCCTTGGAGCAGCAGTTGGAACCCTTGAAGGTCTTGCCACCGCACTGTCCGTAGAGACTGGCGCAGTTGGCATTAGCAGCAGGGGTAGCCGGAGCGGCAGCAGCAGGGGTTTCGGCGGCAGCGACGGGCTTGGTGTTAGAACCAGAGCTACCGCCGTTCCAGACAGCAGGGCCGGGGAAGGGGAAGTCCTTGACGCCGCCGTAGATGTTGAACTTGGCGTAGGCGTCGGTGGCCTTGTAAGCGCCGGGGAACTTGACGGTGGGGCCGGGGGTGCCGGAGCCTCCACCGGTGACCTTGACCTGCACGCAAGAGACGTAGTGCTCGGGCTGGTTGACGTGGGAGCGGTGGACACCGATGTGCTCAAAGCGCATGAGGTACTCTCCACTGGGGGTGTCCTTGGGGATGGTGGCAGCGATGGTGTCCTTGTTGTAGGTGCACCAGGCGGTCGTGGTGAAGTCGGCGCCCTTGTTGCAGACACCCTCCTGGGCCACCTTGAACCAGTCACCTTTTGTGAGGTTAGTTAAATTCATGCACAGTAACGGAACGAAAAGCAAGATTTACCTGAGCCGTCGTAGGCCTTGACGTTGTCGTTAGGGGCGCGGGACATGTACACCAAAGCAGGACCAGGGTGCTGCATCTTGGCGCCAACGCCAAGGCGGACCTTGACCTCGGAACCGGCGTTGACACTCAGAACCTCAGTCTTGCCAGCGGAGGTGAAGGCACCCTGGTTGCACCTGATATCGGGGCCATCGACAAAAGAGTTGTCACGGATGTCCGCAGCAGGGTTGGACGAGAACTTGATCGGGTTGTACTTGGTCGGGCGGGTGAAGTCGCGGATGTACTTGAAAGACGGGCCAGCGGCACCGTTGACGAAGGTCGAGTCGAAGAAGTAATGGGCAGAGGCCACCTGGGCGACAACGCCGACGAGGAGGGCAGAAACCTTCATTTTGTCTGATAAGAAGCTTTTAGACTAGGATGTGTCTTTGAAAATGGTTTGCGAAGGCGGCAGGCAAGCTGGCTGGATGGTAAAGAGAGTCTCTAGGACTGCGCAAGTAAAATGATTGAATGAAAAAAGAGTGAATGCTAAAGCGAACGTAGCCAAAGTGAATGTAACTGGAGATGTTCTCTGGAGAGGCGAGAAAGATCAGAGCATGTTGGCGCCGCCGTGAATATGTTATATATATTCAACGAGACCTGGCGATGTCAGTATGTCCAAGGGGCCGCCAAGATTCTCGGGCTGTTTGACCGAGTGTACGAGACCTTCGGAACTAACACCTTGCTTCCTGAGCCGCCTTGCTTCCCGAGCCTCCACTGTCTGCATTCGAGCAGCACTGCTTTGATTGGAATGCGACCAGGCCATTTGTGGATTTGGCTTGGTCTTGCCGCCCACCGATGCATCGATTTACCTAAACGGGGGCGGTTTCCTGCAAAGGCTGCACTCCCTGCATTACCAATTTTCATTAAAGGAGGCTGCCAAGATGTTTTCGAGATTGGTCCCGTCGTGACGAAACGGGCTGGATCCCGACTGGCGGTGTCGGTGTCGATCCCTGATGGCTCTTTAGCGCCTCCCATCCGTTATCGTTTTCTTCTGTTTGCAATACGGAGGCGTCTAGTGTGTACTCCTGCAGTCGCAATTTTCATAATACATGACATATTATTAAGTGACGTTAGCGAAGTGGCAACACTCTTCTATGGATCGTATACGGCACGCCAAGGTGGCACCATTCCGAATTTACAGGTGTATCCATCCATGTTGGAAATCTCATATCGACTGTAGGGTTCTCCAACTCAATGATCTACATAGTAACGTGTACGGAGTACCTAGTAAGGGATCGACGGCATGATGGTTGAGTAGCATCTCTTCGGGTCCAGCCGGTCCCACCAGGGTGATCATATTAGTACCATGTATCCGTATACTATTACTACATAGTATGTATGCCCCTGGGTTAGCTACCGAGCTGCCGAACCACCCCCAACCTAGCGGCCCAGAACAGACTAGAAAAGAGAGATCCCACACACGCTTGACCAAGTTGAGATGCATATCCGTGTCGAGCGTTGCTTCTAGGATTTTCCCCTTCCAGCCCTCTTGGCCTCGTGCCATATAAACAGCATGGCTCCACACATGACCTCCCTGTCATTTGATACTTACGCCGCCAAGCGCCGTTGGATGCCGAACTGTTCACCGTACCAAAGAACGCAGAGCCGCCCGGCCGTCTTGTCACACTGGGAGGGGCAACATTGCAGTCTTACATGGCCTTTATGACCTCATGCCTGCGTGGACCCGATCGAGCCGGTCTCTGCTACGCATTCGGAATGGTCCCGGACAGCACACACACACACACACACACACACACACACACACACACACAGCCTTCTGGAGTCTGGCGGAGTAGAAAGATCAATATTTGTATCCGTACAGTACGTCAGTAAATAGGGGAAGCCGAGACGAAAACTTCGTCGGCGCAATTTCACCTTTTTCGGATCCCGTCAGAATCTGTTGTATCCACACGATATGTGGCGACAGTTCGTGCGCGACTGGAGCAATTGCCTCTCGTCCAGCAATTCAACCAAGCTACGCGTACAAGGGTCGCACAGATACACTATGATGACTATACACTGTCGAAAGTCCAACAATTCAATATGCACGGGGCGAATGCAGTTTGCCCACAAAATCGTGTCTTCGCACTTCGGGAACCACAGGGGGCTGGAGCAACCAATGTCGTCAATTGTCCAACAATAGAAGACCAGTCGCGCACGGCTAGGGATGCCAGCTAGGAGGTTCTGTCAGATATTAGTTACCGCGTCTCAGGGATGTGTGAATTAAGTTATCCAGCAGATCCTCTCTGGATGAGGGTCTTGTGATAACCACTGCCCGATTATCAGATGATGTTCAATGTTCTCCGTCCCAACTTTTGAGGTTCCTGCTGACTCACGACGTGTCTTCTGTAGATGGGATCAGCAGGAACCTCGAAATAAACGTGAGACACGCCAACTACCACATGCGCCATCGAAGTCACTCCAAGAATTAGCCGCAAAGACAAAAAGAAACACCCATGCAGGTTGACTTGCATCCATACTCGCAACAGTACCTTATCTCTGCCCAGACCAGAGGAGAGGCGTGAAACTTGGTCTGCATTCTAGCAAACTCGAAAGGGGGATTACGTTTCATCTTCAGCTAGGGCGCTAAGTCACAGGGGCTCATCCCATGTCATCCAATCTGCTAACCCAATATGCATAGGCGAGGCGGCTGGGTCCTTGCAAACCCTGCTAGGATGATGGGACTGGGTGGGTACTGTCCTTTCCAATAGGTATTGTCATGTATGGATACATGGGGGAAATCTCGTTGGACTCCCTTCCAGTCCGGACGTCGTCCTATGACTTGTCTGGTCTTTTGGAACCAAAACATTTCATTCGTGGTCTTTGCGCGATGATCTGACTACTGGACTGTCTTTGGATTTGGCATGCCGTGAATGCAGTGCAAGCATTTACTGCTTTGGCACCTAACCAGTCATGTTTCCTCTGTCGCAGTCGTCGTCCTCGCAACAACAATATGTCCATTTGCCAACGTCAGATGTCTCCCACGGTCCCGAATTTGCTAACGAGAAGCTCCTCAGCGTATCTCCCGAACGACCTTGGTCAAGATATGTCAAATTAATAGGGCTTGTCTGCGCCGCCGTTCTCGGGTTGTCCGCGGTTTTTTCTGTGGGATACACATCGGGTTATCACTGGCGGCCTGAGCTTTCCCGCACTGGGACACCCACTGATGCGTCGGGGAGCTGCAAGAAGCCATACTTCAGAAGGGAATGGAGGAGCCTTTCGAAGCAGGAGAAGAGAGACTACCTTGATGCCTTCCAGTGTTTCATTGATTCGCCTTCTGTAATGGGGCTGAACGGATCGCTGTACAACGATTTCTCCTGGGTACATAACCTCGTTGCTCACAGCAGTAAGTCCTTAATAAAGCATTTGCTCTGCTGATGCAACAGTTAATACTGAAGCTGACTCCTTGCGTAGCGCACACGAAAGCCCCTTTCCTGACATGGCACCGACGCTTCATCTTCGTCTACGAGAAGTATCTACAAAGGTCTTGTGGATACAAAGGAGCAATCCCGTAAGCAACGAATATCCCTTGTTGCAGATCAGTATATCATGTCGGGTCTTTTGCAGCGTGGCTAATGGACACGATGTACAGATTCTGGGACTGGACCCTTGATTGGGACGACATCACCAACTCGCCCATATTCGACAGCAAGCTCGGTTTCGGTGGTGACGGAGATCCAAAGGCGCCCAAACACCAGAACGCCCATTGTGTCACTGACTTGCCGTTCAAAAATCTGAAGCCGCAGTGGTACGGTAGCATATATGACCCTCATTGCCTTGCCCGGTCGTTCAATGAAGACTGGTACGCGCACTACTTGAACCCGGAGGCGTTAGAAAAGGTTATGGAAGCGACGAGCTTCGAAGAGTTTTACCTCGGCTTGGAGATGGGACCCCACGACATCATCCCGATGGGGATCAGGGGGGATTTTGTTGCCTTCACCGCACCCAACGGTGAGATTTCCGTTACCTCATCCCTGCCCTACCTTCCCATATGTATCCGCTCCATCTCAAGACGAACCTCTTTGGCTAACATGCAGATGAATCCAGACCCCATATTCTATCTCCACCATGCTCAGCTTGACCGGGTCTGGTGGCTCTGGCAGATGCGAGATAAGAAGAATCGAGTGCAAGACTACGGCGGTGAGGGCGATCGCGGTAATGTCAGTTTGACCGATACACTCCCGCTAGCAGGCTTGGATGAAGACTTGACAGTAGCCGATATAATGGATACGGAGGGAAGCGAAATGTGCTATCGATACATGTATTCATAGAAGTATAAAGTTGAAAGCTTCAAGTCGAAGAGGACCAGCAACTGACATATTTCGAAGATTATTTTGTCAAATCTGTTCCGGTCATAAGAAGTGATTGGTCTCTTTGAAGACTATTTAGTAATGGAGCAAAGACTCACTTAGCATCCAACTTGGTGCATTATTTCTCGGCGTATTAGCCAATAAACATGGCCACGAAAAGATGCAAACTCCTCTGGTTGATGTCTACGAGTGTCACTCCTTAAGTACTTGGATATCTTTGTGGAGTATGCTCCAATCAACCAGACGCTAACGTTAAATCAAACCTCATGCCTCATAGCATTGAGCTATGTTATGTGCCTTGTCACGAATCAGAGGCACACCAGGGCGTAGGAAAGTGGGATGAAAGATGATTGCTGCTCTGATGAGTCTCTAGGCATGAAGTTCTTGTGACTTGTTGTCCACCATACTTAACATAACCTTTTTGTATCCAGATCGACCACGCACTACATCCACGCGCCCAGACTGATTAATTAATGTAGCGACCACTTTGCTGTTCTAGAATTGGCGCTGGTCTTTTCCCTTTTCGTTTGACCCCATTACCGCGAGAAAGCTGACTCTAATAATGGCCACTAGTAATTTCTCGGAAATAAACATTACGACTCCAACGTCGATTTCGCTATTCTCTTGTAGTGTGTTACACCGAAACACAAATAGAGCAGTAAATAAAGCTATTTCGACGGAGGGGTAGAACTATAGTTCATGTCGCTTAGCTGTACGGGCAACACAATGGAGGGAGAGAGGGACATAATAGTCTGAGATGCGTCTCGGAAAAAGACGGCTCGCGTTGGCTATTCAGCTGCATAACACAATTCTTGCATAACACACTTCTTGCGTACAACCCTTTCAGTCACATGAAGCAAAATGCCGCACATTTATTAGTGCGGAAACATGACTGATTTTCGCTAACGGACCTTTGGTACTATTTGGGATGCCAGGCAACTCCCGGTTGCGGGTAGGCCGAGTCCGAGTCCTTCGGTCCACGTGGCTAGGCTACTACTTCCCAGTTGTGTGCTTCACCTTACACAGCCGCTGGTAGCAGCCTCATCCACACAATAATAATATACAGTGATATGCAGAAAGTCTGAAGTCAACCACTTAGTTCCCTCCTACCCACATGACTTCAGACTTTCTGCATATCACTGTATTATATACAAGACGCCAGCTTACGAGTTTATGACCACTACTACCGTACGGAATCTAGTACCAATACATACCTTATCCGGCTAAGAGGCTTCTCATCTCGCTATTGCTTCCACGCGTAAACACTACCGGTCTGGCTCGCCCGACTGTAAAGTGGCGGGTGGTTCGACTGTATAACATACCATGTAGTGGCAGTGTAGGCGGGAAAAAAGCATTCCGTGCCCTTCCTGATGATCTTACATGGCGAGATGGCTCGAGCGTGCACTCAACAGAACATGCCGTCAACGCCGGGAAAACAACTGTCACGAGGTGATATAGGACGTTAATTGCTGCCCGCAATTAACAGCGTTGGTCTTGCGCGACAACAACATATCGCTGCGTCGAATCTCCATCGGACACCCCCACCAACCGGTCGTGAAAGCAGCTTAAGACGTTGCGAGCAGAAGGGGGGATAAGCTTCTTTTCGACGGGATGGACGCCGGGAAGATATACTCATTGGCCCAGAGCGGGAGCTAGTCGCTTTGCGCGCTTCTCTCCACATTCCTAGCCGCTGCCCTATCGCTCCCTGGCTGTGCAGACCATCCAAATACTACGTTTGACATACAAATGGAGACAGACTTGGCCCACTAATCAAGGTCGTGACTTGGCTTGACTTTACAGTTGTCAGCAGCACTGAGCGTTAGAGGGCTCTGACCCCGTGCCGCAGAGGGAGGTGCCGCCGGCGTTGTCGGCGACGCCGTCAGGCATTGTCAATGGGGTTAACGCGCCTCCTATCGAACTTACGTAGCTTTGCCGGCCAGGATTGGGTGATCACAGGCATACCTATGACTTGTCTATCCCTGCACAGGCAACTCCTGTCGGCTCGGCAATGCTTGGAAGAGAGATCCGAGTTTCTGCCTTGTGTCGCATCGGCTAGAATCCCTCCCTCCAGAGGTGCCAAGCCAAGAACATGTACTAGTAGGACGGGTAGCAAAAAGGGGCTTGTCCACCCACTAGGCACTGTAGTGGTCCGGAGAGCTGGGTCTTAAATCACCCACCATAATTCTTAACGTGACAACAGGCAAACTGACGGCTTGGCAATGCAAACGGCTCGGGGCTGGATAAACGTCTTGCCCAACAACCTAGGTATGCCTATCGATACGATTCATTGCCAAAAGGTTACGTTCAAAATCGTCCATCATTTGAACTCTCAACCACGTGCTGGGTCGTTGGCTCTTTTCAATTCGTCTGCGTGTACGCTCGCACTCTGCAGAAAGATTCCCTCCAGACAGGCGTTGTCGCAGGTTTCGCAAATTGCGCCCATGGCTACATGTGTCCCCGCCGGAAGCAGAGCGGCATAAGACTTGCGGTGTTTCATCCTCGTGAACCTTAAGAGGCCACTATTGCGCAGTGCCTGGAGAGCCTTCGGAAACCTATGTTTCGCTCAGGGGTCACCCCCCGGGTTTCCCGGAAGAAAACCCAGATTATGATGAATCAGGGCTGAAGGGGCAACAAGCCATGCATTACGTAGTAGGCGTTAGTTCCCGTTTTTAGTATTCTCGGTCGCAGCCGGTAGACATGAAGCTATGATCGCCGGTCCACCCATCAGCGACCACACATTGGTGCCATTCTCTCAAAAACCGGGATCGCGGGACCATTGTATTGTGGCTCGATCACAATATTTGTAGTACCAGGGCCGCTCGCATGGACCGTTCCCACCCTCTTCCATCCGATCTTCTTCCATCTCATCTCGTCATTTAACCTTCCATTGTGCTGGTCACTCGTTTCTTACAGTTGCCTGAACCTAACAAGGTCCTTTCTTCATAGCAATCCAGACTATTTCTTCATCCATTCCGCTGCCACGAGTCGGTCCGCAGTCCTAGCAACAACCACTTCAAGATGCGCTCCTCGATTACTGCCGCAACGGCGCTTCTCGCCGCCATGGTCTCTGCCCATGGCAACGTCGTCTCACCTCCCCCTCGTGGGCCTGGTGCGGCGATGGCTGCAGCCTGCGGAGAGGCAAATGTCCAGACCGTCACGGCAGACCCTACCATCCCGCTTGAGGACCTCGTCGACCCTCCTGCAACTTGTAAGTTGGCATCCTGCTATTACCCCAAAATCCCTTCGCTGACAGTCCGTCCCCTTCAGGCCAATTGGACCTCTGCCGCGGTGCAAAGTTTGAGGACAACAAGGCCAACGTCCAGACCTTTACCCCAGGCCAGGTCGTCAACATGAAGGCCGAGATCCCCATTCCCCACGAGGGCCCCATGAACGTCTCCATCGTCGACACCGCCACGAACAAGGTCATTGGCGAGCCGCTCATCGTCTTCGACAGTTATGCAGACGAAAACCTCGCGCAACTGCCTGCAAACAACACTGACTTCAACATTACCATGCCATCCAACCTCCCGGCTGGTAAATGCGTCAAGGGCGGCGCGTGTGTGGTACAATGGTTCTGGTTCGGCACCAACGCGAAGCAAACGTATGAGAGCTGTGTGGACTTTGTGATGGCTTAGGTGGTTTATATAATGGCTATCTGCGTTGAGAGGCGCGGGAGGCTTTTTGAGGGCGTTTCAGCACGTAGATCAGGGTTACGTCTGTATGTAATTTACATAGCCGTGAGCAAATTGTTTGCTTTAGCTGGGGCTACATAACTTGAGTAATACTCACTTTCCTTGTTTAGAAGTGGAGCGTTCTATAACTATGACTGCAGAGCTTAGTCAGGTGACATGTACCTTAATCATGATGACTTCCACAGTGATGTGAGCGTTGGCTGACGCATGATGTTTTGCCGATATGCCTACACAGTTCAATCGCCATGGGGTAAGTCAAGTGGCATGTTCTCTATGATATCCGAAGGGACCTCGTTGAGTAGCGTCCATAGACTTTGATCGGCTGTGTCGTCACCGAAGTCCGCTTGACTTTTGCCAATGGAAAGTAAAGTCATTTTCACTCGGTACAATAATTAAGACCTAGGTCGGACCTTTAATTTACTTGCCGTCAAGGCTGTCCCACACCTATGATTGTGGCAGCGTCATCTACGAGTAAGTTTGGCCGGGCTCCAGACTCAACTGTGGAAGATACTTAAACCGGATCGATGCGGTCGACAAAACCCCAAAAATCGTTCGGTCGATCTGCTTTTCTGCGCCAGAGTTTTCAAACAGGCGCTGAGTTTAGAGACTGAGTGCTGTCACGCAACTTTTCTCGTTCCACCCGGGTGACTTTGGTGAGATAGTTCGCCTCGAGGATCAGAGCTGCTTAGGATATGAAGTATGTTGCATACCAGTTGATACCCTGGGGCAGGGAGCTCTCGAAAGCCGCGCAAAAAGCTGCTGTGTCATAGATTCTCTGCATCAAGATATTGAGACACTTTTCGAGATTTCGTGGGGCTCGAGTATCTATGAAGTCTTTGGACATTGCAGATGGTCTTTCGGTCGTGATGTTGAAGCGGCAAGGTCTTAAAGCAGTATATGATCCCAAAAGCTGCCGATGCCAGTCGTATCCCAGAGTAATCTCCGGCTCTGGCGGTTTGACAGGGAATAGCTAAGCCAAACTAGCGGTGTGTCGCCTCGTTAGACTTCTCTTCCAACAACTTTGGTTTGTTCAATGCAGATTGGAACAAACATACTGAAACCACGGCAAGATTCATCAATATCTCATGACTAGCTTGAACAAAAATGCCAAAACAGACCACTCGACGTAAACTTTTCGTGTGAATGACATTATTTGTACAACGTATCGATAATACTTGTGACGAGCCCTTATGGTTGTATTGAACATGGTGCTCTATTGTCTTCACTTTTGGCCTGAAATTTGTGCTTCTTCAATGCAAATTGATGCATTTCAGGACGCTCACATCAGTAGTGTCGAGGTTAGTCGTTAATTCATGATGAATAGCGACAGGCCTCAGCAAAGTAAACCAGGATCATATCTCAAGAAGCTAGACATTAAGTATTTAAGACTCATGCCACCATCGGACTATATGATTCATTCTCTGTCTCGTCTGATTCCAGAGATCTGCAAGGATTATTTGTGTCTTCCAATTCCCAACCCATCACCATACGTTACTCATTGTCCGTCACCTTAATGATAGTTGACTTGAACTTCCTGGCAGAAACCTTCCGGTTAAACAGGATGTCCGCCTCACGGTATGAGCGGTGCTTAAGCTCAGGAAGGAAAAAGTAGGCCATGAGCCAGCAGACACAGGCGGTACCACCCCAAACATAGCCGCACTTGCCTACGAGGTTCCATCCAGTGGGGTTCAGCATCTGCGAAGCCAGAAAGATCATGGGGATTTCTGCAACGTAGTAGGCGGCACGGCCAACAGCGGTACTCAGAGCGCGAAGTCTGACTGCAGATGTCTCGGCAATGATGGTGTATGAAACCGGACCGATAGTACCGGCGAATACGAAGGCGATAAGAATACCAAGAACGGCCTGGGCGTAGTTGGTCGTGGTGGATTGCCGGATGGAGGCACAGACGCCGAGAATCATGAGCAGCGTAATGTTGGTAGCCGTGCCCCAGAGGTAGATCGTTCGGCGGCCGAACCAGGCAGTGAGGGGCCAAGAGAGAGCGTTGGAGAAGAGTGACAAGCACGCGCCGATCATGTTAAGATCGAAAGCGCGATCATGGCTTATTCCAGCTTCTATAATGGGGAGTCAGCCGTCGATACAATACCAAGGGAGTTGGGATGCGGGCGTCACTTACGCTCGAAGAAGAAAGTCGCCTGGTTGCTAATCAGGTTGCCGGCAAAGTTTTGCGATGCGTACATCAAGCAGATGATGGTGGTTCGCCTCAGATCGACGCCCTTGAACAGGTCGAGAAGAGAGGGATTACCGCCCAACTGGGCTTCAATCTCCACGGTTCGCTGAATCATGGCATACTTTTGCTGATTCTGTTGCGCGGTAGCATTGGAAGCATCCAGGCGCCTAACAGAGCGCAGGGCTTCCTCCTTGCGTCCGTGGCGGATAAGCCACCAAGGGGACTCGGGAGCGAAGAGGAGGATTACCAAGAGAGGGGTCTGCGAGGCATAATCATTAGCTTCTGTATGTCTGAGGTTTAAAGAGAATGAGAGAGTAAAGAGAGGTGTGTCCTCACAGGGAAGATCCACTGCAAGGCAAGAGGTCCTCGCCAAGCCCACTCATCTTCTCGCTTATTATACCCAAGGGCTACGCCGGCGAGAATGATCCCGCCAATGGACCAACTCATTTGCAGAGTAGCTGTACAGGCAGCTCGCAGGGCAAGAGGTACAATCTCACTGGCGTAGGCAGGGCCGATTGCAATGAAGAAGCCCCAAGGAACGCCTTCCAGCGCTTGTCCAACCGTGAGGACTTCGAGGGAGTTGGCCTAGACGGATCTAATTAGGAGACGGACTCAGGATAAGTTTAGGCTGAATGGCTTACGAAGAAGGAAATGAAAATGGTGGCGTTCATGAGAGCCAGGGCGAAAATGATAGTTAAACGGTAGCCGAAACGGTTGACAACAGGTCCAGCCAGGAAGACACCGACAAAAGCACCGCATTGCCCGGCTTGGAAAAGGGCGCTTTGCCATTTGGTTTCGATGACATATTCACCACCCACAACGACACCGTAGCGCTTTTGAAAGGCTCTCTGGGCGACGAAGTTACCGTTCAAGAACATGTCGAAAGACTCCATGACCTGCTCGGCGTCAGCAGTTGTCCTGTGCCTTCATTCAGGCCAGCCGAAGAGCGGAACGGGTCAGCTCACAATTGTGAAGCACACGATGAAGGCCCAGAAGCAGGCCTTGGGGTGAGTTTTGGCCGCCTCCCACAAGCCCTGTTTATGTTCCTCGTTCTCGCCATCGAAGGCATCGTTCATGAAATCCGCGTCGGTCAACACTTTGGGGTTCGACTCGTCGACGGGGTCGGAGCCCGCGTGTTTCTCGTCGATGCGGTCGCCGCCTGCGTGTTTCTCGTCGGATTGGTCGGCATCGATTCCAGTGACGGCTCCTGTCGACATCTTTGGATTCAGTCCGCTGCGTCGCAACGGCTGAGTCAAGGAAATGGTCAAAGACGCAGTAAAAAAATCAAGGAGGTCAAATGACCGTCGTGTTTAGCCAATATTGATCAATAGGTGTCCAAGGCGGGACACTGCAGTCAAGAATCGAAGATTTGGGATAGAGGATGCTGTCTTATATCGCCTGGCCACCTCTGGGGGGAGGGGCGGTTAACGTTCAATGTCACAAACCGCAACTTTAAAATGACTTACTACGGCATCCCTTGTCCCATTGAAGCGCATGTATTGATTCGTGAGAAGGAGCAATCAAGCGGCACATGTGTTTTTGCCTCCGGAAGTATCATAATTGTGGCAGGCGAGAGATTTTGTCTCTCCGTCTTTCTCGTTGACACCGGAGATGCGAGATGGAAGTGGTCTCCGGGTTGTTCAGAGGCGGGGTTTAGAGACGAGCTCATAGTCATACTTTGTTCATCTCCCCGAAACTGGAGACAGACCACTTTACACTAATGTCACTCCCAGGTCACAGCATGGACTGGCAACCAGGGAGTGCCTGTAGACTCGAAGCTATGTTCCGTTGGAACTTGGTGTATGTGATCTTTTCATAGGCTCGCTCGACATGATAACGCTAAACAGGTCCCGGCTTTGCTTTCGGGGAAGTTGCCCAAAGCTTATCATCGCATGAAAGCTACGCAATGAGCCCGCGTTGGGTCTGCTCTCACTGGCGGGTGGAGAAGAGGTTCAAAAGCTTATCTCTTGGCTCACTTATGGGAACTAGGGGAAATGGTGCCTGAGAGTAACTAGCACCTCAGTCATTGGTAAGGAAAGATTTCTTTTTTCCCTGCAAAGGGATCTAGGCGCCGAATGATGTGACGATGTTAGAACGGAACTGAACTTGAAAAGTGCCGAATTGCGGCTTGCTATGTATCATGCCATCGATTTCTTGTCCCTCATCTGGCGTATTGATCAACTGCCTCGAAGTGCGGAGTAATAGCACCACAAAAAGTGAGAGTATTCATTGTATCCCTACCGAAAGGTCTGAAACTAAAGGTTTTGTGCGGAGGAAACCTTAATATCATGCCAAAGTCCCCCCCCCCCCCCCGGCCCATGCAACGCCAAACTAGGAATTGGCTACTTGGATTATTATCGTAACCCATGTCAGGCCTCATTCTCTAAGGTACTCTGACGTCCATAGTTTAGGTAAATATATTACATGCTGTGACGGACTATGAATAGTGAAGCGTTGCAGCAACTACATAGTGGTTCTAGAAATCTTATGATTGCTACGTTGAGTAACAGGAGCGATACTTGATAAACTGAGTTCTCTGACTGTCTTGGTATTATTGTGTATCTATGCCACCTTAAGAGGGACCACTTTTATCCGTGCTCTTCACCGTCACATCCTCCCCATGGCTTTCTTGAGCACGTCGGTGACCATGCCAGCATCGATACTATCATGGTGCAGTGTTACATATCTCAGTGTCGAATCGATCACCTATTTTTCTATTTAGTTAAGATGGGATATACCGCATGAAACATGTATTCACAGATGATTAGTGTTGCGCTTTTTCACAAACCGCTGGCAATGTGACAATGCAGTCAAAGTGTCTGTTATGAATATGAGATTCATGATGGCTTGCAACCGTAACACTATATTGTGACTCCCTGATTGACGGTTTTCCCAAGGAGTTATGATTCTTGAACTA